GGATCTTTTTGCTTTGCCTTCATTTAAAATTTTTTAATGTAATTCAAACTTTTTACAAGAAATAAAAAATCATTTCTCCATCTTAATCAAAATTGTGTATTGATAATACACTAAAATTTATGCAGTATAGCTTTCATAATTTCTATTATGACCATAGTATTATTCATCATATTATAGTCCTTGTACATCTCACCAAGATGGTGTGGTTGAATGCAAAAACTATCATTAGACTAATGTTATCAAACCATTAATATTTTAGACATATATCATGCAATCCCCATCCAAAACACAAAAGTGACTTGTGTGCCTCCCTAATCCTTCCACGATCCATCCCATTATGTTGTTTGCTCAAGAAAAATGGCTTCAGGCACGAACCCCGCTTTACAGGCTTAGGGTTCCATCTTGCTCAAGGTAGATTGATTTTTAATTAACCATATTTTCCTCGATGTTCATATCGAGGTTTATTTAAATATGGGGTGTTTACTTCCTATGAGCGCAAGCTCTCATAGTTAATTACCCCTCCTATTTTGTAGGAGAGAACTCTTAATTAAGGATGAATCATTTTAGCATAGCTCCAAAATTTTAGGCATTTTAGTCTCAATGATGAGGAATAAAAGTAAACCCTATCAAAATCTCATGATTCTGTCATCCCAAGAATACCATATATTTCAAATTTTCAGTCTACCAATGCTAACAAACCATTGGTTGTGGCATCCAAGGATTCTGATTAGCAACAATGGGTTGCCTCCTTTAAAGGATCCCGAGTAGACTAACGTAGTTGGATATTGAATTTTTGTTTTATGGTGGTTTTAAGTTTGAGGCTTATATCTATTAAAATGGTCGTTAATTTATTTAATTTGGGGCTTATGACTCCTTTTAGGAGTTGTCCGGTAGTTTAGTTTAGTTTGGGGCTTACAGTTCCATTTAGGAGTTTCCTGTTAATTTATATGAGATGGAGCTTACGGCTTCACTTAGAAGTTGCTTGTAGAGTTATTTGAGAAGAGGCTTACGGCTTCACTTAGAAATTGTCTCTTAGATTTGTGATTTAGTGCAGGACTTACTGCTTCACTTAGAAGTTACCTATAGATTTGATTTAGTTTGAGATAGGGCTCACTGCTTCACTTAGAAGTCGCCTATAGATTTAATTTAGTTTGAGATAGGGCTTACTGCTTCACTTAAAAGTCTCCTAATAGTTTTGCTTTAGGGTGAGACTTATTGCTATGCTTAAAGTAGCTTGTGAGTTTAATTTTGAGTTGGGGCTTACATCTCTGTTTAGGAGTTGTCCAGTAGTTTATTTGGGATTTTGTCATTCATTTAGAAGCTTCCCTTTTGCATTGCTTAAGGTAGGTCCTACTGCTTCTATTAGAAGTAGTCTGTAGATTTAGTTTGAATTAGGGCTTATTGTTTACATTGAAAGTTTGTTTGTAGATGTATTTTGAAGTAGAGCTTACTACTTCCATTAGAAGTTGCCTGATAAATTGGTTTTAACTTAGAGTTTATCATTTCTCTAAGAAATTTCCTTAAGAAATTGGTTGGAATAAGTCTTACTGTTTTCCTTAGAAATTGCCTGTAGATTTAGGTAGAAGTAGGCTTACTGCTTCCATTAGAAGTTGCATGTAGATTTGATTTGGGAGAGGTCTTATGGCTTCACTTTAGAAGTTGCATGTTAATTTAGGTTTAGTTTAAACTTGATTTAGCGTTAGTTACTTCACTTAGAAATTCCCCTAATACATAAATTAAGTTAGGTCTTACTGCTTCATTTAGAAGTGCCATTTTTTTTTACATATTATTCATCAATAATATATCATTTAGAAGTGGCATATAATTTCGTTTTAGTTTGAAATAGGGCTTATTGCCTCACTTGAAATCGCCAATAATTTTAGGCTCAGGGTTTCTTACTTCACTTAGTAGTTCCCCTAATGAATTGGATACGATTAGGATTTACTGTTTCTTTTAGAAGTTACCTAAAGATTTGATTTAGAGTGAATTTGAAAACAGTTACTTAGTTTTGCACTTTCCTTCTACCCCAACATTGATGTTTTTACTTCAGCACTTTTATTATCTGGCTTTAGCATTCTTGTTTTGGTTACAGGACTTTGACCTTTTCCTTTAGCATTGTTCTGTTGCATTTGATTTACAATTACTTATTTGCTTGCAGGTAATGGATCCCGCACATGTAGGAGCTTGTCAGAGTTTTGAGTTTGATTGAGTGTGAGTTAATTTAGAGTTTTATTTGAGTTTTAGTTTAAGTTTGTGTTTGAGTTTTAATCTGAGTTTGTTTTTGAGTTTTAGTTTAAGTTTATGTTTGAGTTTGTATAAGAAATTGTTTATTATAAACATTCCCACTTTCTTGTTGTTTTTTTAGTTTATTGACATTTTGAATTAATTAATTAGTTGATTAATTAAGAGAGATTTTAAATCATTGAGTTTTTTAATTAATTGATTAAAAGAAATTTCTTAAGTTTATTGTGGTTTATTGACTTTATTCAAATTTAATTGATCAATTAATAAAAATATTTTTATGATTATTTAATGAAATTAAAGTTTTTAATTACAAATAACAATTTTTTCATTTAATAATGCTCCCAAATTGATTTAAGAAATGACTCTCAATATATCTTAAAATATCTACGAAATCATTTTCGAAATAAATTTAAGATTATTTGTTGCCTCGCTCCCTCTTTTGATTAAAAAATTGCTCTTTTCTCTTTTTTTACATCAATATAATTTAGTTTTAAAAATGTTCCTTTTTTATTATATTTTTCTCAAAATTCCGGCAACCTTCTAACATCCCCTCCCCGCAAAGGGAGATTGGGACAACACTTGTAGTTGATTTTTTCTAGCCGAATATAAGATACGATAGCGTGAGGTCTTCAATTTAAGCTTTTCTCGACCGGATCTAAGATACAATGGCGCGAGGTCTTCAATTCAAGATACATTGGCATAGTTTAAATCAAAATATATGTTGATTATAATTTATTTAAAAAAAAAATCCTCAAAAATCTTGCAATCTTTCGGCGTCAACTTAGGGGTGTCAATATTAGACCCGACCCAAAAACCCGACCCGAAAATTTCGGGTTTGGGTTGACCCAAACCTGAAGCGGGTCAGGTTCGAGTCCGAAAAATCAACCCGTTTGCAAAACCGGGTCGAGTTCGGGTTGACCCAGAAACCCGGAAATGACCCGGATGCCCAACTTTGCTTGCCCCGGCTGCCCACGTGACCGCGCGTAGCCTGCCCGAGACCGAGTCGCGTCGCAGTCGCCTGCCCGCATGACCGCGCGTAGCCTGCCCAAGGCGGATTTGCGTAGCGGTCGTCTGCCTGCGTGACGCGCGTTTTCTGCCCG